CAGGCAGCCCTGTTGTCTTGTCCCTGGGTTTCTGTGAGTTTTTTCTCATGCAGTGGGTGCAGCTGGAGAAAATTAGCCAGTTAAGCCAGCTTGCTTTTAGCTTATGATTAGTTTGATTTTTGTTTTTTAAGTTATCTCTGTTCAATTGCTCTTCTGGGAATCTCTGCATTAAAACACAAATTGTTTTTAAGAATCTGAAGTTAAGAAGTTCTCCAGGTGCTTTTCAGTAATGGTGCACACACACTGGATTATGCAGGAAATTATGATTTTCAGATGGCAAGGCTTAGCTGGCACAACACAGTTCACAAAAGAACAACATGAATTAATGGGATTATTAGATGAGATATCTCCAAGTACCACACAAGTGTGCTTTGGGGAGCACTCTGGCCATTGAGAAGTGCAGGAGATGCCTCCCTGCAGGGCTCCGTGCCCAGGCAGGGCTTTCCCATGTCCTCCAGGGAAAGCCTGTCAGGAGCTGCAGGTTGGATCTGTGATCCCAAATGAGCAGGGATAAAGAGCTCCCCGTCCTGTATGTGCATGTACAGCAGAGAAAAGTTGTTTTTGAAGTGTTTTTATAGTGGTTTTGAAGAGCTGCCTCGGTTCTCTACCTTGCACATCGCTGCCTGTTAAAGCCAGTTGGCTTAATTATCCCAAGTCCAACTCTTCAGGACTGAGAGGGTATTAAAACTAATAAATGTAAAACATCTCTCTGTATCTTTTTAAGTTTCTATAGTGCTGGGCCTATGGTTGAATCAATTAACCTCTCTACCTCATTTTCCTCATCCATAAAATGAGACTAATAATCGCTTACATCACAAGAAGAGCTGAGAATGAATGTGCCTGGAAGGTGAGAAGTGGGCTATGAATAGTGATCATGGTGAAACAGTAAAATGAGAAAACCTGCCTCAAACAAGAATTTGTTTATGATATCCCGTTTAATGGAAGTGCTGGCATGAACTCCTCTTCACTAGGTTATGGAAATTTAGGACTGGAGAAAGTTTCTGAAGGAGCCATTTAGCTCGTTTGCATTTGCCTTGATTTATTAGCTGTGTTTTATCCTTCCAGCATCTCCCTGCATCTGTGCAAGGGATCAGTCCCGTGGTTTAAATATTTTTGAAAGCAGAAACTATCAGGTCTGAGCATCAGGCCATACACAGACGGGGGTTTTCAAGGGTGCCTGTTGTTTTCAGCCTCCACTGAGCTGAGCACTGATTGTGATGTGAGCAGCATGACTGCACTCCTATAAATTGGGGCAGGATGGGTTTGTGCAGTACAGATGTGCTGTACCTCTACACCTCCCCATCCACCTCCTCTTGGCTGTGTAATTACCTGACTTGCCCCGCATGGAAATATCTGAGTTTTTAGGAGACTTTATGGCAGTCACAAGAGAACTGTGTTGTTTTTTCCCCATATAGTTATCTGTGTGATGGTGTCTAGAACAGATGCCACAGATGTTGAGAACCTGACATATATTTTGAATTTGAGTGTTAAGCAATATAAGGTCATTAAATGCACATAGAACTGATGAGAGTACACAGTTCGAGGTGAAGATGCTGCCATGCCCACAGGTTTCGTGCTCGTGCCATTTCAAGCCCACCACGGGAGGAGCAGTGGGCAGGGCTGAAGTCATCAGAGAACAAAACTCATCCATCTGTCTTTCCGAACGCTACGTGTAGAAGTCCAAGCGCAATTAGGCTAAGAGCACTGAACAAATGTCTCCAAGAGAAAAGAAGAAAGGGTGACTCATGGTATTTGTTCTCTTGCTGCACAAGTTTGTATCCCTCTGTCTGACAGCAACATCAGAGATGTGAATCACTTCTGCATCAGCAGCAGCTGAACTTGGGCACTGCTGGCAGCACGCTCAGCCGTGTCCGAGTGAATCACCGTCACGGAGCTGTCGCTGCCAGCCTAGAAAAGACATACCCAGGAATTCCAGGCACTCGATGTGAATATTAATTCATAATTAACAGCATTTGCCCAGCTTTGTAAGCAGAAAAAAGAAAAATTGGGGTTACCATCAACAACTGCAGCTCCTGCGCTGTGGCAAGGCTTCGTGGCTGGTGCTGGAGGGCAAAGCTGGGGGGTGAAGGTCTGTGAGGAGGCTCCTGAGGATGTTGCGTGGTGTGTAAGCATGACTGCTCTGTGCCACTTTTTCTTAAAGATGATCTTGGAGCTTTACAAGCCTTGAAAAGGCTCTCTGTTCCTGCTGAGGCAGCACAATGCTGCGCTTGGCTGGATTATTGGAGGTACAAAGCAAGGGTATGGTTTGCAGAAGCGCTGAGCCTCCGCAAGTCTCTCGGTCTCCGTGTGGGCGCTCAGACAACTAGGCACAAATGTCTTGTTTATGGCACATCCCGAATTTCTGTGAGAGCTGGAAACAGAAATCCAGGAGCCCTGACCCCTATTCTTGACATTAAATCACAGCCAAATTTCTTCTTGCTGCATGTAGTAAAGTGACCTTTAGCTCAGGGAGACCGCAGGATCGACAAAGCTGGTTTGTGGTGGGTGCTTTGCTGAAGATGGATGTTACAAGAGTTTTGAGTAGCAAGTGCTGCAGCCCTGATCTGCTGTGGGCTGGAAGACGTGTGGCCAACACCTTGCGGTTGTGGTGAGCACAGTCCAGAGGGCTTCATGGGGGCTGCTCCTTCTCCTTTGGTGGCTAAAATGGAAAGGAAACCTCACCTTGAGCAGTGTGTCACTGCACACACTGGTGTTCCAGACACCACAGCGTGTGGCACGGCTCCTTATGAAGCTACCAGCCCATCCACATGTAAATTGGCACATTACATGCCAATTTAGGGATACAAGGTCAGGGCAGGGAACTGCACCGACAACAATGTGGTCTGAGTGCCTGCACTGAAGCTAGAAAATGGCTGATGGTGAGCGTGTACCACTTAGGTCTGCAGTTAATTCTGGTCAAGTACTGGAAATAATTATATAGCTGAAATAGTTTAATGTTAGGAAAGAAATAGCTCTTTGTGGCATGTATTGCCCCTGGGCATTTGATTTCTTTAAGGGCCAATGCCACCTGAACCTGCAGGGAGCAGCAGGAGATGCTGGATGTCTGAGCTGGGGTGAATCAGTGGCAGTCTCATATTCCAAGCTGGATTTCCTTGGGTGGAGCTCAGTTTCTCTTAGGGATTTTGTGCCAAGTGTGAAGCTAGCTTAGTCCCTCACAAGTGATATATTGGCAGCAGCAGGGATATAACCGTGATCGTGCTAAGCAGCATTTGCTCATATGGGATCCCTGTCTTGGTGCAAATCCCCGAGAGTTTTACAAGGTTCCCTACGTGCTGGAAGAAGAAGCTGACTTTTCTATTTAAAGCTGAAGTATCATCCTGCTTCCTGTCTTCCAAATATTCCCTGGGAAGAAATAAGGGAAGGAAGAACTGCCTGTGCCATCAGCTGGTGCAAAGCCCTGATAATCTGTTTGGCTTTGGTGCTCCGTGCTGAGGTGATGGCTCGTGCACCTATTCCCCCATTTCAGCCCTTAGGTGTGGATGCAGCTGGGTCGGGCAGTTGCAAGGTTGGGGTTTTGGGAGTCCCATAGCTAATACCAAGGGGCACACACCTTGAAGGGGTTAATTCTGGTGGCAAGGGGAGAATTTTGTACTTTGCATTTTGTACCTTCCCCAGGGGAAGGAGAACTGACGGTCTGATTTTTGGGGCTGCTGGAAGGAGGGGTGAGAACTGGTGAGCTGCAGAGACCCTGACACAAAGAAGATCAAGATGCCCACAGAGAGATTTAGCTTCTGGAAACTTATTTAACATGGCTTTGAGTTGCAGAAAGCATTGCAAAGCCCTGAATCCTTCATGTCTTTAAGTGATAAGCTATTTTCTTGCCAACTTTATGTATCTAAAAAGGAAAAAAAAAAAACAGAGGTACAATTATTGTGATTACAGATAACACTCAACGTCAGAAATGGATTTAGTAGAGCAAAAGGAAATGAAAGGTGTAAATTAAAACTCGATAATGATGAAGGATTTGCATGATACCAAATGCTGGGATACCTATTAGCCAATAAATAACCCTTGTGCTGGTTACCTCTGGGAGCAATGTTTGCATTTTAGGATAATTATTTCTTGTCTTGGGGCATTTACTAAGGAAAGACCAGAAAGTTAACAATAAATTTTTATAATTAAACTTCAAGATGAATTGAGACTTTGTAGGTGTAAATCTTTTAATTTGTGCCAATCTGTAATGTTTTGTTAGCACAATATCAACTAATTTATGGAAATACATCAATTATGGACATTTTCATACAAATGAAACAAAACTGACAATAATGGAGTGAGTAGCGTATTCTGGTACTCCATGGATGTGACTGTTATTATGGAGCACAACTTCGGGTAGTTTTAAAAATTAAAAAAATGTCAGAACCTTTTTTTTTTTTTTTTTTTTTTTTTTTTTTCTTTTCAGGAGAGGAAAGCTCATGTGAAATAGATAGGAAAGCTTAAGAATTTATACACCCATCACTGTTCCACTCCCCCTGAAAAGCACTGCGTGCTCTGGATCCTCTGGGTCTAGGTGTTCTTGGAAGCGGGCATGGGAGAGCAAAAGCCCTCATCCCAGTGCTTGCACCAATTTGCTGCATGATCTCATGTGGATTCCTTGATCTGTCTGGGTTGGTTTATCCTGTCTCTAGATTACTCTGTGCTAAAGGCACAATGGCAAGCAAACAGCAAGAATTGCAGGGCTCTCGTGCAGAAGTCATCAGCAGGCTGTCAATGAGGAGGTGTGGGAGGATGTTTCAGATCTCCTCTGATACCCAGGTTGATGCTACAGGTGATGAACGCAATGAAGATGTAAGGATTGAGAGGTTTTCAATCAACCAGGGAAGATCAGAAAGGAAAGGATGTGTCACAGCATGCATTTTTTTCCTACCCAAAATGAATACAGCTGGGTGAAATTATTTCAGTGTAGCCAGGCTGAAAGTGTCTTTTTTTTTTTCCTTTGTTTTTTTTTTAATTATCATTATTAATTTCTGGTTTTGTTACAGTTCCCAGACCAATTTATTGGCACAGCAAAAGGAATCATCTCTTGGGCTGATGCAGCAAAGGCACGTGAGCATTCTGTTGCAGCCAGGTTCAGTGCATCCCTGTCGCTTCATGTGGACCAGGAGGGAACCTTTGGTGCTTTCATTTAGTAGCAGGAATTTGTCCCAGCCCACAGAATATGGCTTGCATTGAGATTTTAGATTTTTATTTTTAGCATTGATTGTGCATGGCCCAGTGGGGAGGTCCTGCTTAATGACAGGCTGCATGCATGACACATGCAACATGTGGTTTTGTAAAAAATAAAGCCTGTTCCTAACTTAACGGCAATAAAATGAAGCTAGCTCAGTCCAGACCTGTAGGAAATGACCTTCTGCAGTTGTTGCCCCAAGTCTGAGCTCAAATAGCACTGTATGCAAGGGTTATTTTCCCCAACTCTGTGAACTGTGCTGAGAAAAGAAGGGATAAAATTGTGGAAATACCAACAGGAACTCACAGGTTGTAGCTTAGATTTAGGATCTGTATTTCTGTACTAATTTCACTGAGTGGGAATAAGAGATGGTACCATCCTGGAGGAGTTTGTAAGCCTCCGTCCTGCTAATAAGAGCAGGTGTGAAGGAGCAGTGACAGCCTGTCCCCTTGGCGTGATGAGGAAAGAAATGGGAATTATTAAGTCAAGATACTCAGTGGTGGCTTGTTGAGCAGTTTATTTTTGTGTGCCTGAAACGTATCAGGTGTCTCTTTTGGGACTGCTCATTTGCACAGGGCATGTGCTCTCTGTTGCCAAAATGAAGGCTCAGGACCATCCAAAATGAACTTCCAAATGTGATTTCTGTGGGGATGGAGCGATCCAGCCCTGCACTGTGCTGGTGTGGTGGGAGCCCCATGGCACCTTTGTGTTAGCAGGGAACCCAGGGTGCCACTGGGCTTCTGCACAGACTTAAAACAAAACCAAAGCAATGACAACAAAGAAAAAGTGGAGAAAAAACCAAACTTTTAGCTCTGTGGCATCTTCCTGGTGTGGGCACCGCGCAGCAGAGGAGCAAGCGACAATTTTCTAACAGATTGCCTGAGAATTTGTGTGTCTGGAGGTAGGGAAGGGAATCAGTTGGAGAAGAGAAACGTGGAGATGACAGCTGGTTAGGGCTTTTGAAAGAGGATCTCAGAGTCTGCCCGGTGTCCTTCGTAGGAGGCACGTGGCCATAAACACAAAGTGAGCGGCTGGCGTAGTCCCTGCAGGGATTCAGATCCGCAAAACTCAGCCAAACGAGAGGGGAAAAAAAAACAAAAGGCATTGCAAGGAATTCAGAGGAAGCCCAGCAAAATTTGGAATGGATGAAAGGTAGCAGTGCAGCAAATCCTGCAGTGAGCAGAACAACGAAATGGCGTTTATGGCGATGCAGAAACCAGCGTTTCGTTTAGCAAACGGCAGCTGTAGAAAACCCTGCAAAGCTAAAGGTGGTTCTGCTCTTTGGGATTGCTTTACAATTATCTTCCTTGTTCTTCTCAGAGCGTTTTAATTAACCTTCTGTGCCCTGATCCCACACCCACCCTTCATCTGTGGCTGTGCTCGCAGAGTCATGATACCGACTAACAGCACAAACGGGAAGGGAGAGCTTTGCACTCCTCTTTTTCCCTCCACAAGTGAACTCCTTTGTTAGCTGCCCATTGTTTGTCAGAAGATTAAATTATTATTTTTTTCTAACTTAAGGAGCAAAGAAAAGACCATTCCGCTGTGGATCGGTCGTCTCATTTACACACAGCTTCAATAAATAACGCGTGGTCTATGAAATAAAAATAACTTTAATAAGCAGCGTGACAAGACAGTACAGTGAGGCTTCTTTGCTACCATATATCTTAAATTGCTTTCTCCTAACCTGACAGCCACTTCTCAGTTTGTGCATTTAAATGCAGGTGCTCAGTGCTCAGCACCGACTTCCACCACGGGCTGGCTGCTGCCAGTGGATGTGGAGCATCGCCTGGGGTGCTGCAGGGGAGGCAGGACCTGGCTCTGGCAGTTTGTGGTGTTAGATCTGGCAGTGTAAAAGTGAAGGTATGAACTAAGCTACGAGGCTCAGGGTGGTTTCTTTTTTTCTTTTTTTTTTTTTCTTTACGTAATGCAGCTTGCTTCGTCTGGGTTCAAGGCGACATCAGAACACAACTCTCAGGAGCAGCAGGTGAACAAATCCTCTGGGCTTTTAACAGCTAGTTTGTTTTTGAATGATTCATCAGCCGGCCTTGTAGCTCAGGGCTTCTTTTACTTTTTCCCTTGTGTTTTTTCTTAGTCAGATCCCTGGTCCCTTAGAAACCTGTCCCTTGGATGCTTGCATTACCTGCAAGGCAGCTCTGCACTCTACCACCCTTGTGTGGCTCTTGGGAAGTGAAGTTCCTGCGCTCGCCTTCTGTAGCTGCATCCTCGTTAACATTGCCCGAGGAGAGCCTTGGGATCGTAGCCACCTCCCCGATTTATTTTGAGCAATGCTCAGTTCTGGTTTCAGATTGCTTCTCCTGATCAGTCATGGGCTAGTTCCTGGTGTTGTGAAGAATAAAAGCACTGTGTTACAGGCAGCAGCCTCCTGAGCTGAAGTCTCACCAGCATCTCAGGCTGAGTTCTGTCAGGCTCATATGAGCAGCCTTCCCACTCCACGTGCAGAAATGTTTGGCTATCACTTACGCCTTTGGTAATTTTTGTTTGTTTTTCAGTCCAACGCTTGCTGTTCTGCACTGCTGATCACGCAGTGTCACTTTTGGGTTGTCCCTTCTTGGTATGTGGAATCTGGGACAAGAGCCAGGAGTCAGGAGCACGGGCAGACCAGGGCTCTTCATCGTGAGCATCCCAGTGGGATGCATCCCCAGCATCCTGGTGGGAAATGTCACAGGGAATGCTGAGGGCAGGTGTGGCAGCACGAGCACAGCCCTTCCCTATAATGACACTGAGGTTTCTGGGTGTTACTTTGCAGCTGCTTTGTCCATTTCCACCATGTTTAGGAAAAAAGTGCTTTTTCATCCATTGATTTTTGTTCCTATGTAAGAAAGAGCCCTTGAACTTGCACTCACATCTTTTGCATTGAGGCTGTGCTTTCACAGAGAGCTGCTGGGTGGTTTTTAGAAGGGTTGGTATTTCTGAGCTCTAACCTCCCTTGTTTGAGGAGTTACTGCCTCTGGTGTGTTGTCCACAAACCAGACACCATTTTCCACCCCTTCCCTGCCCAGCAGCTTTCGTGTCCATCTCTGGGGCTTGTTGGCTTTTGTCAGCCCAGGAAAATTGTGCTGCACCACAGCAATTTTCCTTCTGCAAACCCATTTGTTCCTCTTGGTTTTGGCTCCTGGAGAGGTAGTGGTCCCATCCTGCTTCCCCTCCGGTGGCTGAGTCACTCTGCAGCTTGCAGTGCCATCCCTAATTCTGTTTCTTTCTTTATTTTTTATCAATGATGTATTTATTCTACTGAGCGATGTCACCATTTGTCTGTGTTCACCCTGGCATTTTGTCCATTACCTCTGGAGTTTGCCCACAGGAAAGAATTAAACAGCTGTGCCTCCTGTAAAACAAAATCCAAATGTTGGAATTCTGCGCTGTGCATCAGAGCTGCTCTCCCAGTTTATTCAGCTCCTGCTCCATCCCGAAAGGAGACCTTGTACTTAATTCAGATCTTCTGGAAGAGTTCTCAACTTCATCAACAGAGTACCAGGATTAATGATGAAATAGCTGGGAAGGTGAAACAGCAGTAGCTGATAGGGATAAGACTCACAATTATGTTGTTTTTAGATATAACATCTACGGCTGGTGTTTTGACAGGTTCACAGCAGGGAAGGAAACCTTTGGGGGAGGTTGAAGGGGGCTGAGTTGCCTTCTGAACTGGTAGGGGACAGGATCTGCAGTGCAGCCTGGAAGCTGAGCCCTCCCTACTGCAGAGATGGAGTTCTGCACCACGTATCCACCTGTCTCCATGATGCAAGTCTCTCCTAAATTATTTCAGCCAGTTTACAGTCTTGCTGCTTGAAATGCCCCTAGAATGTGGCAGGTTTTTTACCATACTAAAACCTTATTAGCATTGCTATGACATCCCTGCTATTAAGTACAAGGGAAGGAGTTGATTGCTTCTGTTTAGATTTGCTCCTCACACAAGTGATTTTTCTTTGCTAAACTGTGTTTCGGTGCAGTGCATTAAAAAGTGGGATTTCCACAAACTCATTAGTGGCAGTCAATTTTCAAGAGCACGATGTCCAGGGAGGCAAGTGTGTGGGGCTGGTACCTCCAGGAGCAGGTGATTTCCTCGTGAAGGATTTTCTGACGCTGTTTTTAAAACTCTTACTCTGGGAGAAGGCCCATGGGTGTCACCAGGATCTTCTGCTTCAACTTTACTTTAACTCTTCGGGGAGGCTGGGCGTTATGTGATGTAAAAGTCAAACTGATAAAGTCAGGGCGAAAAGGAGATTGAAATGAAGCTGTTAAAGCTTTGACCTACAAGAAATGTTCTGACCTCATCAGGAGAGAAGGCATAAGAATGGTACCAAACTGTTTTCAGAGCGTTTTATTTCATTGCAAAGCTCGGATCCTGACTTTATATTCCAATTTAAGTGGAAATGTAATGTTAAAATCTTAGACTTCCTCCTAGCAGGAGATAGAATATCAGTAGCTCTGCGTCTCTTAGCGAACTGGACCTACAGCCCAATTTTTGGCAATCTTTTCATATTGGTGTCCACCCCCTCACTTCAAATCACTTTTAGGAGAGCAGATCGGTATTTAGAATAATCAGAGCAATAACATCCCTGGGCGCTTTGATCACAGGCAGGCATGGACCTCTGCTCCTGCTCTCCAGCAGCCCATCTCTGATTTTGGTGGTGCTGTAAATGAAAGGATAGTGAGGTTAATTACACTTGAGGATAAAGATTCATTGATAATTGGGAGCATTTCTTGTCGCAGATATCAAAGCCTTGTGAACACCCAGATGCGTGAGGGATGGGAGTAAGAAAAGTGTAGTGCTTATGAGCCTTATTTGAGGGGGAGTTGAGGCTGGAAACAGCCAGTTTCTCTTTAAAACACTGAATTTAGTCCTAATTTATATATGTCCGATTTTCTTTCCTGTGTAGTGTTTGTGTGTGCAGCTCTTTTTGGCTAGAAGTTGATCACGTGCACTAATTAGTGAGCAGGACCAAGTGCTGAAGCAGAGGTTTGTCGGGGTGAAATGTTCCTCTAGATCCTCCCTGGGGGAGGTGATCTAGAAAACGACATGATTGTGAAGAATGCTTTCCCTCTCCCCAGCCATGCAGCACTCAGGGAAGTTCGTCCTTAGTCTCTGCAGCTGGGGATTTCATGTAACAAGGTCTAGTGTGGAGGTGTGCAGTGAAATCATCCAGGCTGAGAGGTGATTGAGTATGGTCAGACTGGCAGCCTGTCTTGGCTCTCCGGTCCTCACACCCCACACAGAGGGATCCCACACATCCCTCTTCTTCCCTGCCTTCACTCCAGCCCTTGCCCAGTGCCATCTTTCTTCTGGGTAAGGTTTCTTCCAGCATCCTACTTCATTTATTCTAATTCCAGGCTCTTTTCAGTGGAATTAGCATTCTGCTTTTTTACCCAGAAGCACTCCAACTTCATGTCCAAACAATGAATCTAAAAAAATAAATCACCTTATTGGGCGTCCAAGTGGAGGAAAATTTATGTTCTGAGTTTTTCTAATGCAAGAAAGAAAGCATCACAATGTATTTTCCAGTGTTTTTTTTTTTTTTTTTTTCCTTTTTTCTTTTTTTTTCTGCGTTTAGGTGTTGGGTTTATGGAGAAAGTTTTGCCTGAATTGTGTAGGTCTTGTGTTTAACCATAGGCTGGACTTAGAGAAAATGAAGTCTACCAGTCCAAATATTAGATTGCAAAAAAATTATAAAAATACACATCTTTTTGTGCATAGGTTTCTCAAAATCAGATCGGCATGTTCATGGAAAGGGACTTGTTGAGAATGGCTGCAAGTTAGTTTTGGCTTGCGTTTCCCCTCTCTTCCTCCTTTCCTTCCTTCCTCCCAATTTTGGATGAGCTGTAATTGGTTTAATTCTTTCTGGTTGACCATAAACATATCTTCAAGCATACAAAAAAATGCTGATATATGCACACCAAAATATTTGTGCACCTGCCCCTGCTTTGCTTTGTAACAAAGAGTTAAGAACCAATGAAAGAAAGTAATGAACTAAGGGAAACCAAAGAAGAGATATCTGAAATATTCTCCTTTTGTACCTAGGTCACTAACTTAATTTTCTCCTCCAATTGAATAGATTTTAATTTCTAGGAAGTCTTACAGATATCTTGAATCTTTGTCAAATTATCATTACGTTGATTTATTAGCTTCACAAAAAACGTTAGCTCCACCGCGCAGAGGAACCAATCATTTCTAATGGAACCCTTTAAACAAT